TCCAGGATCTGATTCTCGGCGCACGTGAGACTAGTGATCCACCATGGGTGCAGTATGTGTGTGTCGCAGGATACATTGCCCAGTTGCTGGCTTTGTTGCAGTGCTCACACCATGTAGCTAGTTCGACCCTGCCGCTCCTTTCCAAATGCACCCGTTTGTCCAGCCTAGTCTGCTGCCTGTCATAGACTCAGACCACGCGACCACACTGAGCCTCCGTTGCCGGTTTCCCCGGACCGGATCTATCACACGTCCCCGGTAGACAGGAGCTGGTCGGCCGCGTGTGTGTTTGTCTGTGTGCGTAGTGTGCGTGAGCGCTACCTACGTGCAGTCTACGCGAGAGACACTGACGAATGGTAGGCCGTCGTCCACAATCCACACGCGCTTGCAATCATTCTGGTGCACCCAAAGTGTACCGTCAATCCGACAGTGAGCCATCAGCGGTCTTCTTTTGACTTGCGGCGGCGCGCTCTTTGTAGTGGCCATGTCACGCATCTCACTGCAGTGGGGGATTGCGCCAAACTGGCCCAAAGTCTGTCAACTCTACTTTTTTCGCGCGATTTTCGCTCTTTGCACAGCAGGACCGGTGCGAGAGTCGTCTTCGCATTGAATTCAGACGGGGTTCGGACGTATTTTCATTCGGAATCGGAAAAGAGCTCAATGTCGTCATGCGCATGACAGCGTGGAAGTGACAGATCTGTCCAAGCCCTGACAAGAACCAGCCAGGAAGGATTAGTCCGATTAGTCTTAGGCTGCATGCAATGACTGAATGGCGGCCCGCGGCCAGTTGGAGTTGGAGAAGGAGACAGCACAGTGCTCGCTCTCATTTCAATCTTTGTTTGACGAACTCCAACGCAAACGGTGGTCGATGCCAATGAATCACAGCTGGGCAATCGAATCTACTGCTTCATATTCAAGCATGCACCGGCCTTTATGTTAGGCCAATGTCCTGGGCTACCAGTACGGAGTCGGAGCGCAACGATGCGTTAATTAATGAACACTTCTTGCTGAATGCCAACGGAAATCTTGAGACGCGATTCCTTTACTGGCTCCACGGAGTAGATACGAAGCAAGTCCGCTGGTAGCGTGAGGTTGACGTGTGACACATGGAGGAATTCTACCATCAACGATGGCAAAGACAGAACACTGAGGACAAAACAACCCACCTACATGAAGTGTGCGATCGTTCCATCCTAGTTTTTTTGGATTTTGGTAGTTTATGGTGAAGTGCTGCCGAGAAGCGATCGATCGAGTGACCAGGTGACAGTGCAGTTGGCAATTTCTCAATTAATTGGGGTTTCCCCTGCGTCTGTAGCTGTGTAACGGGCCATTGGCATAGGGGGTCACGGACTGTTTCTCTGCATGTCATGCTGTCCCGGCTGTCCTGAGCCTGTCACTTCTCCCATGACATTTGAATGGATTGGTTAGGCGACGGGTCGGCAGAAACGGAGTTGCAACTGGTTGTGGAGTACCGTAGTACGGTACATATACTTCGAAGCATGTTTGAAAGACAGTTACCTGAAGAGCAAAGCAACGACGTTACGTACATTTTTTATATATTATTTTACATGACATTGTACTTAGTTGCAATCAGGCTAGGGCTCTCCACTCCAGTTACTCTTCTGCTAGCACTCAACTAAACACAGCTGACAAAATAGACTTGTATTAAAGCTACTACTGGCAGTGTTGATCGTCACTTTTCCCAACAGCAGCAACATTCCTGCAATTCTGGAGCGCCGTATCCCTGTGTAGTAATACTAATAGCAGTATAGGCCTCAGTTAGGTGGAGGCGAAGAGTCGTCATTCTCTTGCCTTGCATTGGCTTGATTTGTCATCGGAGCCACCAAGAGAACAGTTAGCACTTAGCAGCCTTGCTTGTATGCAGTAGTGTACCTGTCCTCGGTTTGTTCGAAAAGCATGTACACCTGTCGCCATTATCATGGACAGCACAGACTGGTAAACCGGAAGAGTAATTGTATTGCTCGTGTCCTCTGCCCTTAGCTCTAATTTACGGTCCAGAATGGAGAGGTCGAGAGAGAGAGAGAGAGGTCGAGAGAGGTCGAGAGAGAGAGAGAGAGAGAGAGAGAGAGAGAGAGAGAGAGAGAGAGAGAGAGAGAGAGAGAGAGAGAGAGAGAGAGAGAGAGAGAGAGAGAGAGAGAGAGAGAGAGAGAGAGAGAGAGAGAGAGAGAGAGAGAGAGAGAGAGAGAGAGAGAGAGAGAGAGAGAGAGAGAGAGAGAGAGAGAGAGAGAGAGAGAGAGAGATGGAGAGATGGAGAGATGGAGAGATGGAGAGATGGAGAGATGGAGAGATGGAGAGATGGAGAGATGGAGAGATGGAGAGATGGAGAGAGGAGAGATGGAGAGAGAGAGAGAGAGAGAGAGAGAGAGAGAGAGAGAGAGAGAGAGAGAGAGAGAGAGAGAGAGAGAGAGAGAGAGAGAGAGAGATAGAGAGAGAGAGATAGAGAGAGAGATAGAGAGAGAGAGAGATGAGATAGAGAGAGAGATGAGATAGAGAGAGATAGAGAGAGAGGAGATAGAGAGAGAGAACGAGAGACAGAGAGAGAACGAGCCGGAGACAGAGAGCGAACGAGAGAGAGAGAGAGAGAGAGAGAGAGAGAGAGAGAGAGAGAGAGAGAGAGAGAGAGAAGAGAGAGAGAGAGAGAGAGAGAGAGAGAGAGAGAGAGAGAGAGAGAGAGAGAGAGAGAGAGCCGAGAGAGAGAGAGGGAGGGAGAGAGAGAGAGGGAGGGAGAGAGAGGGAGGGAGAGAGAGAGAGAGGGAGAGAGAGAGAGAGGGAGAGAGAGA